TAAATATAAATATAAATATAAATATAAATATAAATAATATAAATATAAATATAAATATAAATATAAATATAAATATAAATAATATAAATATAAATATAAATATAAATATAAATATAAATATAAATAATATAAATATAAATAATATAAATATAAATATTTATGTTGTATTTGTATATATATTCTGTTTCTATTTATAGATGTTCTAATATGCTCATGTATATAATAAACACTGATTTGGTTTAAACCAGGGGTGAAATTCAGCAGGTTCTGACAGGTTCTGGAGAACCAGTAGCAGAAATTTTGAGTAGTTCAGACAATTGGCAAAAACTACCTCTGGCTGGCTCCAGAGTGGGGTGAGAATGGAGATTTTGCAATATCTTTCCCCTACCACGCCTACGAAGCCACGCCCACAGAACTGGTAGTTTAAAAAATTGAATTTTACCACTGGTTTAAACCCCACTACAACAGCAAACTACCCTTTTAAAGTGAAGATATTTCCACCCTTCCTAGTTCAAAGAAAGGCTATCTCCAGTCTAGCATACACTAAGATATATTACTTACAAATGGAAACTCTCTTTATCTCAATAAATCTGGGTACGTTTACTGTCAAATAAAGTTTTAATCATTCACAGTCAATTGATTATATAAAAAGTACAGAGTACAATCCCCTATGTTGATATTTCCAGATAAAACAGAAAGAAGATAACATAAGAAAAGTCTCAGTTTATCACTTGGGGATGGTGGCAGCAATATTTTAAAGAATATTTATTAATGTGTAGATTAAGATTATCCAGTCCTGACCAAATAAACTAGATTTCACTATTTCCCGCAAAAAAACAACAACTCAGCTTTGGAAAGTTCCTAGTGATGGTTTGGCAAAGAAAGAACCCCCACCAAAGATGTAATGCAGGGACTGAAATGAATGCTGTTTTAGCACAGTGCTAAATGTGCAGTACATAGTTCAGAGCAGGTAGAAGAGATTACTGGAGAAAACTTGCTTGTAAATAGCTAAATGAATGTATTGATAACTATTGTGTCTCATGCTAAAAAGACAGACTAACTACACTATACATTAGTATAACGTATGATAATATAATACATTTTCTTTCTTTGATAGTTAACTCAATATTCTCTTTGCTGCATTTCCCAGTATATATGCAGAAGCATTTCAGACTGTCAGTTTTCAGATCATTACAGTAAAGTGGAAAATTGGAATCCTATATTTGATGTTTTTTACGTAACAAGTGTGCTTTGTTCTGGTATGCAGATTTTTGAGGGACTTTTATAGTGGAAAATTTTCTAAATGTTTTTGTTACCAGTTTATACTATTCCAAACTCAATGTTTCTTTTCTATGTAGAATTTTCTGCTTGCTGGCCTGTAACATTAATTTAAGCTATTTAGTTTTCACAGTTGAGTTTGCCAACTCAAATTCTTGTGTCAACGATAAATACATTGCAAAATGTATAACTTCTTACTGTTGCAATAGTTTTAACATGCTGTTTTCTTTTCAGATCATAGCTGAACTTCAGACAACAGTTTCCTCTCTGACAGAGGAAAGCAACCAGCGGCAACTTGCTGGAGAAAGGCGTCTGCAAGATGTTTTACAAAAGTTTGAAGATGAGAAGCAGCAGCTGATTAGAAATAATGACACAGCAATCAAGGTAATCTGGGGCTTTGAGTCAATTATGCTGCCAGCTGTTTGAGTATAATTAAAGTTTTTAAAATATTGACTGTGGCCTTAAAAATATATGTTGAAGTCATGCTTTTATAGAACTCAGCATTTCTTTTTCTCTAGAAATTTCATATAAAATATGTTTTTTATTTCTGTTGTGTTTTAGATGCATTGTGAATGCTAAAAATACCAGTGAATGAAAATTTCTAAATGCATGGTTAATTGAAAAATAGAAAAATATCTACCATTTGCCTCCTTTGTGTGATTTAACAAAATTCATTGACATTTTCCTTAAACACATGCTTAATATATGGTTCATTTCCAGTTTGAAATATTCAGCATGTTAAAAGTTACATTTTTGTGCTTCCTTACCTAACTCCATAGATATGAATAGAAAGCGCTAGAATAAATAAGGGATTTCAGCCTTGTATTAGAGTTGGACTCTGACTGGGTCTTCTTGAAGTATCTGGGACATTTGATTTGGCTGTGTTAAGTAGGAATTTGATCTAGTGATCTTTGAAAAAATGAATAGATTTTAGGAAGCTCTATAACTATGTCCTCCTATGCTAATTGGCTCCATGTCCCTGACATGTAGTTCGGTCCAAGTGATGGTGACTTCATTCTTGGTTGAGGATCTTTGATTAACTTGGATTTTGTACTTAGTTTGGGATTAATAATTATATCCATCCATGACTGTTCTATGTGTCAGGAATTTTCTGTCCCACCGTATCTACTCTAACTGAAGTGGGGCCTATTCGATTGGCAACTGGTGGACCCAATTGGATTTCAGAAGTAGCTTGGATTTTACCCCAAAGCTCTGGTGCATGGATTGGTGGAGGTCTTGATCATTGCTTGTAATGAACAAGTGATAAATACCTGGATTGGGTCACACCAGTGCGGACTCTTTTTTTTTAATGGATCATATAGAATAGGGATGTGAAACTTGTGGCATATCATCACAAGTTTTCCTCTGTTCACTAAACTGGGTGTGGGTGTCGTCAGCGCATGATGAATCCAGCCCACAGGCCACAAATTTGACACCCCTAATATAGAGATTCTTGATTTACTAAGGAACTGTAGGAGATGAAATGACACAGAGATGCCTAAAAAGTTGCTAGTGAAAGATGAAAAGTAAAGCCAACGAGTAGAAATAAGATCATTTATTAGGATGTTCTTTTTGGCAATAAGGGCAGTAAAGCAAATGTACTTCTCTGCTCTTATGTACTTATCACATCTGTAGATAGCCAACCAGCAGTCTTGTTTCGGATTGCCCTGTCCTTCCTTGGGAAGGAGAAGCCATGAAAGTTCTTGCAGAGCAATTGTGGAGAATATACTGTACTCAACACCTGTCAGACAAAGTCAGTTTACTTCACTTGTTGATGGTGCTGACTGGACAGATCCCTTAGGAAGTGGGAGGAATTTGAGCTAATCAGTGAGCCTGACCAGTTATGTTCTGGACCTATCCCCCCCCCTTTGGTCAAATACTCCTGAGTGTGCAAACAGTGGTTAATACCTCTTTGCAGGAGTGAATGGCTCCACCAGCCTCAAAAGAATTGGTGGTAGACTCCCTACTCAAGAGGGTCCTGGATGAAATAAATTTACCTGGATCCTTTTCCGTCTGGATTCAGTTTGTGTTGTAATACAAATATGGCATTGGTCAACTAGTGGATGATCTATCATCACCAAGGTAGACATAACCTTGAAACCAAAGATACACAGGCTAATTCTATTGTTATTATAAGATTATAATAACAGAATCTTGCATGCTATTTCATCTGACTCATTGCCTGAAAACTCTTGATGGGGGTGAACCAACTCCAGCTCAATCCTGGCAAGATGGAGTTGTTTTGAGTCTTGGGTCTTTCTTTGTTATCTATGATATTCAGTAATACAACACTTCCACAGACAGTATCTGTGGGACTTGGCAGCTCCTGCTTGGAAAGCATGTGAAACCTGTGGCTAGGAGGCCTTTGCACAAGATATGCCTTGTACATCAGTTGCACCAGGGGCGGGTTGCTGCTGGTGTTTCTGCCGGTTCACGGGGGGAGAACGACCTGCGCGCCCGCCGAGGTTGGGCAAATTGGGCGGCTGGCTACATTTGCCGCCGCCATGGCCCTTCCGGACGCCCCTTCCCCCCCCCCTCTGTTTGGCTCGGTCTTTGCATCAACGCTGCCTCCTTTCTCTTCTGTTTGTTGCTTGATTGGACCTCTTCCCTTGGTGAGTTTCTCCCTCAGCCCACTATCGCTGCTGTGGAGCCTTCTTCTAACCCCCCCCCCCGCTTGTCATCTGGCTCTTTTCCATCTGGGCTTCTGAACATCCAGCCTCCTTTAACCGTAATCCTAGGGCCTCTGGACTTGCTGCCTCAGCCCCAGTCGCTTTGACCATCACTACCCGCGACTGCCTCTGGAATACCATCTTGGACAGCACTTATTTAATTCCACCCATTAAGGTGCCTTGGACTCTGGACGAGTGGGGGTGCTCACAGCATTTAGGAAGGCCCTCTGCCACCCCTCAACCGCCCCGGACTCTTTGGACCTTTCCCAGGCCTACAGGAGAGGGGGAAACAAGATACCCCCCCTGTACGCCTCCTATGGACCATTGCTGGGTTTCAATCATTTTAACCATCTCAAACGCTAAGAACTACTTGCACAACTCCTAACATCACACGAACTGCTCTTGTATGTGGAATGCTTGTGGTATGCTTGCTAATGAATGATCATACTTTTTTTAAAACAATTTTTAACATTTTTGCTCTGTTACTGTAATTTATACTTTTATCGCTATAGTGGGGTATGCATGTTGGGAGTGACTGTTTAGCATAGTGGACCGAGAGTGCGGCCTGGTGCCCCCCCACTGAGTGCAGAAGCAGAAGTGGGTGGGGGCCCGGACCCGCTTCTCGGCCCGGAGTGCATGGGGTAAATGGCCTGCTGGGGAGATCGGGGGCCGTGGGAGGGGAGGAGGGGTCTACGGACACGGGGGTGGGCTGGAGCATCCCGGTCACGTTTGGGAGAGGCAGGTACGACGGGAGTTTCAGGGTGGCCATTACCGGGGAAGGAGGGCTCGCTATGTTACAGCGATCCCTCGTTCCGGCCCTGAAGACTCAACCCAACGACCAGGTGGCAAGAGATGTCAGGTCCCTGGTCTCAGGTTGCTGCTGCTAAATGCCAGATCTCGTGGGATCCCTGCTCCAGAGACTGTCGGGTGTGAGTCCCTTCTGGTGAAGCTGGACCTTGGGGGTCAAGTGGCCTTGTTGTTAATGTACCTACCTCCCAGCTGCGTTACAACAGCCCTGCCGTCACTCCTGGAGTCAGTAGCCAGACTGGCGGTTGAGTTCCCCAGACTTATAGTACTGGGGGACTTTAACTTGCCATCTCTCAGCGAACGCTCCGATGGGGTGCAGGAGTTCATGGCTTCCATGACAGCCATGGACTTGACCCAGATAATTCAAGGTCCAACTCGTACAATGGGACACACTCTTGACCTTGTGTTTCTCTCGGGGCAGTGGAGATGTGATCTGGAACTGAAGGGCATAAAGACCTTGCCCTTGTCATGGTCAGATCATTTCCTACTGAGGCTTGATTTTCTGAAACTACTCCCCCACTACAGGGAGGTGGAACTGATTAAATGGTTCTGCCCCAGGTGCCTGATGGATCCTTTGAGATTTCAGACGGAGCTTGGGGAGATACCCGACTCTCTTGCCCACAATCCGACAGAGTCCTTGGTCGCTGCTTGGAACAGAGCGGCGGCTGGGGCTCTTGATTGGATCACGCCTTTGCAGCATCTCCGCAGCAATGGATCCAGGAGGGCCCCTTGGTTTAATAGCGCCAAAAGAGACACTTA